TGGCCATCGAAAAAGTCATGAAACATAGGCATAAGATCATCTTTAATGATATGCCAACATTTCTTATAGAATTCAGCTGGAAACCCGTCTGGTCCCGATGCTTTATTCGGCTTCATTTGAGTTATGACCAAATGAACTTTTTCAGTAAACGGTGCAGAGAGAACATCATTCTCCACTGCCTGTAATTGAGGTATATCATACATAGGATATGCCAAAATTGTTTTGTGAAATTGATCAACTTGACAAATGGATTATGGCCGTCAGGTTACCGGAATCATGCCGACTCCAAGTAAACTCATGGATCGGGTACAAACCCAAGCGACATGCAACTACGATTGCGTACGTGTGCGCGAATGTGCAATTACATTTGTGCGGTGTGCAAGTGTAGTTGTGTGTGGCATGGGAAAGACAAAGTAAAAATAATAAACGTCAATCAATCAAAAAAGAAAAAGTCAAAATCTACACGATCTTCACCTGATATAAAATGGTGTTGGAGTTACTACATGAAATTTGCTGCTAGATGAAAATTAGCAAATCTGGTATTTTTAATATAAAATTGATTATTTTTTAAAATTTTGACTTAAAACAAATTTAATATGCGAAGTAAAATAAAAAAGGGAATAACTGTTCAGAGTTTGAATCATCATTGGAGCTTATACGAGATACACATCCAATGAATTTATTAGAACCTGGACTCAATTGTAACTTGCACGCTAGGAGAAGGGAGATTGGAATAGATACATTCATATAACTATCAACCTGCTAAGAGCAACTCTAGCAGACCCCGCAAAACGCACATACCCGCAAAAGTCCAGCGAGTATGCGGGCTCGGCCCAATTTTTCGGTCAGAACAGAGCCCACATACTCGCCCGGCCGTATTTATTTTGCCGCAGCCCGCAAACCGCACACCCTGACCGCTATAACTGCGGTTCCGCGACTCGTTTGCGGGTTCAAACTCTATCCCCTGCCGCCGCCGAGCCACGCGATTCCCTTTCCCCCTCTCCACATTTCTCGCTGCCGGCGACCACCCGCCCCGCCTCCAGCCGCCATGTGGGGCCGAATGTGGAGCTCCGGATGCGGCTCCGGCAGCAAATCCGACGGCGGAAGGGACCTGGAGCGCGAGCGGCGCGTCAGGTCGGACGACGCAAGGAAGCGCGGCATCGGGAAGTAGACCAACCGCGGCATGTCGCCGCGTCGAGCTTCCAGCGGAGCAAGACGGAAGAGTACGACCGTCGCCACGCATCCTTCTCCTCCACGAGGTCTTCGTACGCCGGGAGCTCCTCGTCATCCGGCGTGGCCTTTCTCCCCGTGAAGAGGGAGTGGTCGGAGGACGAGGAGGAGCCGGAGGAGCCGGCGCCGTTCGCCTTCATCCCCGTGAAGGAGGAGCCCGAGGAGCCCCCTCCGCTCGGCCGCAGCAGAGTCGTCGGGCCCGAGGACTACGTCGCGGACGTCGACCCCGTTGTGGCCACCATCACCGAGTGGAGCGTGCGCGAGGAGGCGGAGCGCCGGTGCCACGCCGAGGAGCTTGAAGACCTCGAGTGGCGGCAGGCGGTCGCCGCCAACAAGAAGGCCGAGGAGTGGCGCCGCATCCGCGCGGAGCAGGCGGCGAAGTATACTGACCTGTGCAGCTCCGGCGAGGAGGATTGAGCGTCGCTAGGCCTCCACGGCATCGTCCTCACCGTCGTCAGATCTCACCGCCGTCCGATCCGACCCCCTCTAGTACTAGTTAAAGTAGCATGTAGTATGATCTATGCTTGTAATTTGTTGATCATGTAGTATGTATGAACTATGTAGTATGTGATGTGATGAACTATGTTTGTGCAATTTCTTTCGTGAAAGTGTTTTTTCAAATTATGTAGGTTTAGATACGGTATCTGTTCGGCCGCGCTAGTTTTCGACCCGCAAACATGATCTTCATGAAACCGCAAACGCGTTTTGCGGGTCAAATTTTTGCAGGGTCTGCTAGAGTTGCTCTAACAACCCTATCCAGGAAGGGTCAGACGCTTCCACCAAAGTTTACAAGTATTACGTGCATGTACATGCATACCCTGCATGATTGGTGGCATGCTGTATGAGGAGTCATTTTCTATGAAACTATGAAGCGCATCCAGCTGATTTTGCTGTGGACAGTTGCTTCTGACTTTTGCTGCTTGCAAAGCTGAGCCGGGACAGCTCTCGTACAGAGTAGAATAGAATCAGTGCTATTATGTGACCTATAGTATTCCAAGAGCGTGTTATGATGGAGAACCCTTGTCAACTTGTGTTTTGAAATCGATCAACTTGATGAGTGGATGACGGCCATCTGGTTACCAGAAATCACGGCGACTCTAGTCCATGTAAACTCACGGACCGGTTAAAAACCAAATCAGCTTGTGCTAAACATAAGATGCCATTTGTGGCGGCTACAGTGTTTACACAGTAGCTGGCCGACCTCTATCACCGATAATACATGCGTGCTCGCGGACGAGCGAGTGAGGAGGGCGCGTTCTGCCTTGTCCGAAACACTCGCCGGCGTCTTGCAGCCAATTTGCCTCTTGTCCTGTTCCGGTAGGTACATCACAGCCCGTCACGGCAGCCAGGAACTTGGCATTCTAAATAGGGCTGGTGGTTTGAGATTGTATGACGCACGGGTAGGAAATTATTATCTCACCGACCAGGCATGGCGCTGCTGTTCTTTTTAGATGGAGTTAGTTGGAAGGCAGCAAATGTGAGAAATTAATTTGAAGACTGTTGGTTGATAGACTATACAAACTAGACGATACCCTGCGCGTTAAAAGTTTTGGTTGATAACATATGACTTGTTATATTTGATTACGTAGAGTTGTAAAATATTTATTGAACATACATAGAATAATTAAAAGAAAAATATTTTTCCATGCATAGTTCAGTGTTTTGGTTGGTCTTTCACTATACATGATTGCATGTTGAGTTAGGCCTTATCTCATTCATAGTTGTATGGTGAGGTGGCATGTTTGTATGTTGAGATAAATAAATTAGTGGGAATCACTCTCTTATGTATATAGGATAAGGTACGGGCATCTCCAACACGCTCTTAAAACAGAAACAGTTTCCATGTATAAGGTATGAGCGCCTTCAACTAGCTAGGCGACCATTCATACGGTATAGGTTAGCTTCATCCAAAATGGCGCTTGTTTGCCCATTCTTTTAGAGTAGACTTTTGTTTGTTTAGTCTATGCAGAACATGAGAAGACCGAAGAAAAACGCCTCCCGGGTCGCTCCTAGGGCGACTTCGGAGGCCACCCCTGCCGTCGGCCCTAGGGTACCTTAAATCGCTGCCCTCCCCGCGCCGCCGCCGGAGGAGGCCGTCGGAGCTGACGGCGGTGGCGGGGCTCTTCCCGTCCGATTTTCTCCTTCCCTCCCCGCGGTTGGCTGTCTTCCTCCTGCCACCAGAATGGGACGCTTGCGCCTAGATCTCGTGCCCTGTAGGTGCTGCAGCATCAACATGACCATCCATGTGCGCCACCAGTCGTGTCCTCCGATGATCCGTACTGGTGGTGGTGTGGTGCGGCGCCTGGTCTTGGCCAAGATCTGAAGGTGTGCATCGTGGACGGGCTGGATCCGGCGGGATCTAGGCTGTGGTAGCTTGTAGGCGTCTGGTGCTGGCGTGGATCGACATGATCTGGCGCTTGGCAGTGGTGCTCCGAAGGTGCTTGCGGCGGCAAATGGCTGAATCTCAGTTCTGCTTCACCAGGCGGCTTTCAGGAGACGTGCCTCCTCTGTGGGCGTTTGGGCAATGATTCGTGCCGTGTCTTGGTCGGGTGCTGATCAAGCGGATCTCGACTGGCTTGATCCGGTGATGGCTGGCACTCTCGCGGCGTCCCCGTCTGGTTGATGTGACGGGGGCCTCTTTCTGGTGGTCACTCGTCGGCTTGGTATATGCGGTGGTGCATCCGTTGTAGCGGGAAGTGGTGGATCCTCGGTGGTGGTGCGTGTGACTTGGCCATTGGGCTTCACGTGCCAGGCTACCCTGTGCCTCCCATCCTCATGACGGACAGTGAAGATATTCATCGTTCTTCGGTGATGGTTGGGGTGTGCCCTCACATTGGCATTGGTGCTAGCACAGTCGCCGTTGTCTGTGTTCTCAGATCTGTTGTCTCAGTAAATGCCTGATGTGTGGTGTTCACTTTGATATGAAATTTCAGTGCTGATCGAGACATTGCATGAGGACTTCTTCTATGGCAAGTTGGTGGTGACAACACAGGGACTTCGTCTATGGTGGTGCTCTTTGAATACCAGGTCCTAGGTTCTGGGGTGAAAACCCTAGGTCCAGCCTTCACTGGTCGTACCTGGCAGTGGCGGTTCTGCCTCCTTGTTGAAGGCACTGTTTGGAGCTTAGCCGGTCCTTGTCTTCTTGGTGAAAACTCGTGATCTAGCCTATGTGGTTTGATCCAGCGATGATGGTGTTCATGCACCATTTCCCTGTTGAAGGTGTCGCTTTTAGGACAACCTTCTCGTCGTCCGGGTGTTGCCAATGACAGTGGTAGTAGTTGATGTTTTGTTGTAGTGGGTCGTTTGCCTCACCCATTGACCCTTTGGGTCTTTTCTTCTTCTTTTTGGTTGTGTGCATCTTAATTATACAGAGGCCGGGTGTGTACTCGTTGTGTTTTGTATCCAGTTGATGCGATATTACGAGTCAATAAAGAATGCCCTTTATCGAGAAGAAAGAACATGAGAACAAATCTTGGGAAATCTAGCAAGTTATAGATTTGTCGACAAGTTAAAGAAAAAAATGTAACATACACGTAAAGGAATGTATCAAATGTACTATACACATAAAGAAATCAACGACACACTAGTAAAATGTAACATACATTACGTGAAACAGAAACAGTTTTGTATTATTTCAAAGATAAACAAATACGACATACACATCAACAGATCAACTACACACTACAGCTCGCTTGAGTACCATTTATTTAGTAATGGTACAGACGATTTTTCTTGTTAACAGATACAGAGTTGCGGACGGCAAAGGTACCCTACATGAACTTGGCCTTGATAGCGTCCACCTGGCCGTTGTCGATCCGGAAGGCCTTAGCAAGCACGTCGCTTGGCACTGGCGGTGCGGCAGCGAAGAGTGTGGTGGCGATCACTTGTGTGCCCTGAAGCTGGCTGTTAAAGCCGGCGATCACGGAGGCGGGGCCACGACCCCTATTCTGCTGGAAGTGCACGAGCCCACGTGGGAAGGCGAACACGTCTCCAACAGTGACGGTCTTAGTGAAGAGCTTGTTGGCGGTGGTGATGAAGCCCACCTCCAGGACTCCCTCGAGGACGAAGATGATCTCGGTGGCGCGTGGGTGGGTGTGCGGCGGGTTCTGGCCTCCGGGCGCGTAGTCAATGCGTGCCATGGACACGCCAAGCGTGTTCACCCCAGGGAATGACTGCACGTTCGCCGCCGTGACGTTCGACCCTGCCGCGTTGTTGGTGTTGCCAGCCCTCTTCAGACCGGCGAAGAAGAAGTCGTCCGCCGTGATGTCCACCTTGCACGGGAACCCGTTCAGCTTGATTGCTACCGACATTCGTTTTGAGGAAAACACCACGTCATCAACAAGAGCCAGCACGAAAAATGCAACAACAAACTTTACAAAGATGATGACTTACGGGATGCCAAGTCGGCGACGCAGACGTCCTGGAGCATGTCGGCGTCCCCGGCCAGGGAGGAGGCTGCGAGCGAGAGGAGGACGGCGCAGGCCGCTACCGCGGAAAACTGAAGCCTCGCCATGATCGGTTGGCCAATGCTGTCTTGCTATCAGCTTGGTGGTGTAGTTGCCAGAGTGCTTCTTGGTTGTGGAAATTAGCAACGGTAGGAGCTGGTACTTATAGGCAGTGTGGTTTGCGTATGGAACTATGGATACCATGCATCGCCGTCTCAAGGTCGTAGGCTCGGATGGGGAGGGAAACACGCAAGAGCCTGCGCATCCGATTCCATTAATTTGGAGCCAATGGGGATATACTAGATTAGTTGTTTTTGCACTCCTTGCAGGCTAGTACGTACCTGCTGCACATGCGTTCTTGAATCGATCCATGATCCATTCATTCGGTGGTATATCCTGTTGGAGACAACAGACCCGAGTTGCACATGATAGTTTGTATAGCGGTTATCAAGTTGAGCTTATTTCTTGGGCGTGGGACGAAGCTGTTCACTTGGATCAGAGAGGAGTCATTTGGTCAATGACTCCATGAAATTATCCTGATTTTCCTGTGGCTTCTGACTTTTGCTGCTCGCGAGGGTGAGCTGGGATAGCTCTCGTCCAGAGAAGAATAAAACCAGTAGTGGAATTGTCTGACCTAGTCCTCCAGGTGCGTGTTATGAGACTGAGACCCCTTGTCAAAAAAAAGAAAGACTAAGGCCACGTTCCAGTGTTCTGGAATCGATCAAGTTGATCTCCTTAAATTCACAAAGCGGTTAAAAAACCAAGCGACCTATGCTGACCAATCAGATGCAAAACCTGGCGGCTAGAGATCAAATCAATAGCTGGCCGGCCGGCTCTATCACTGATAGTATGTGCTTGCTCGTGGACAAGGAAGGAGACACGCTCTGCCTTGTCCGAAAAGCTCACCGTCGTCTAACTGTTGTCCTCTTCCGGTCGCAGGCAGTCTTTGCAGCCGGGAACTTGGCATTCTTATTTAGGGCCGGTGATTTGAGATTGTACAACGCGCGAGTATGAAACATTATCTTGTTGAGCAGGAATGCGGGTCTGCTGCTCCTTCTAGGTAAGTCACAGTTGGAAGTTAGCAAAGGTAGGCCAACGCTGGCTTGCTTTGCCATGGCACCATGCTAAACACCCTTAGTTAACAAGTACTCCTAGTCCTACTTACGGTTTCTCCTTTTTTGAATGGAACAAGGACATGTTGGGTTGGGGCAGGTTCAAATTACGCAACCTATCTATTAGAAATTGCACGCATGCAAAAAGAAAAAAAAGATACAAAGGGCTCACGATTTAATTATTCGGAAAGGTCTTCTAGCTTTATATACGGAGTTGTATGTGCTTCCAATGACTGTCTAAGATTTGGGGCTACAGCTTGATTCCCTTGAGTGGGCTCTTTGCGGCAACGCTGGCCTTGCTGATGTTGACCGTGTGCATTGATTTGCTCCTCGTATGCATGGTAATGTCCTGTTGTGATGTCCACATTAGGGTTGTGAGTGTGTACGCATATCGTTGCAAGATGCTCCGGCTTGCAGCAGGGACTTCTTCACCGAAAGTGGGGGCGGCAGTACAAGATGAGTCAGGTTTTGTGATGCCTTCGGGCACAAGGTCTCGAACTCCAGAGTAAAAAATCTTGTCCTGATCTGCTATGATTTTACTCGTCAATGGTAGTGTTTCACATCATCTTCTAATTGGAGGCATTATTTAGAGTTTACTCAGACTCCCTCTTCGGGGTGAAAACCCATGATGTACCCTCGGTGGGTGGATGTAGCGATGCCAAAGCTCGCAACATCGTTTCCCTCTTGGAGGCATTGTTGTTGAAGCACTTCTCCCATAGTCCGGGTTCTAACATCAATGGTGGTGGTGGTGGTGGTGGTGTGTGTGTGTGTGTGTGTGTCTGTGTGGCCGGCCGCCATGCCGCCGAAGAAGTATGTGGTCCCCCGCGCTGCGACGGATGCGACCGCCACCGTCGCCCAGCTGAAGCAGAGGAAGCCGAGGGCGCAGCCGTCCAAGCCCCCGGGCATGTCCAACGCTGACTGGAGGGCGGAAGTTCAGCGCCGAGAGGCTATCACCACCGACCGGCGAAACAGGGCCAACGCCAAGAAGGCCCGGGACAGCGCGGCGCTCACGACTGCAGCGGTGGCAGAGCACTCGGCCGAACAAGCCGAGGCGGCTCGCGCGGGGATGATGAATCCACCTGGCGGCCACGCCCCGTACGCGCCCTGAAGCCAGCAAAGCGTCGGTTCTCCGGCCGGCTTTTCGTCATCGCCACAACCCTGGGGCTGCACGCCGTTGCCGGGCTATGCCGACGGTGATGCCGACGCGCACGACGGGTTCAACACCAACATCACCTTCCCCATGGTTACCCGGCCCAGCGCACGCCCTCGCCCGCCTTCGCTAGCGTGCAATACCCTCCGTACACCTACTCACCGCCGGCCTACGCGTCCTCCCCGACGCCCAGCAGCACTGAAGCCACGCCGACGCCGCCCATCACAGAAGCAGCTCCGACACCGCCAAGCCCGCGCAGCTGACTCCGCCGACGCCGGAGGCCGACCCAGCCGTTTGATGCATTGCCCACGCGTCCTTTCTTTTTTTTGTATGCCGAACTTTTCATTTGATCGCCGAACTATGGCAAGCTGATCGCCGAACTAGGCCACTGATCGCCGAACTTGTGGCATTTTTTTGGGACTGGGAATGACCAAGTTTGAATTTGCGGCGACTTGGGGGGCGGCGCCTAGGGGCGTGGCTGGGAGTTAGATCGCCCCCAGGGCCTAAAAAGCGTCGGGCGGGTGCCCGAAATAGCACCGGCCTATGCGCTGGGGGGCCGAACGAGTGAAGATGCTCTTACATACATGTACATACCCGCAAAAAAAGAAAAAGAAAAAATTTCGTACATGTACATGCATACCATGTCTGATTGGTGGTAATCTTTTTTTTTCAAAGTCACTGATTGGTGGCAAGCTGTTTGAGGAGTCATTTTCTATAAAACTATGACGCGCATCCTGATTTTGTTGTGAAGAATGCTTCTGACTTTTGCCGCTTGGGAAGCTGAGCTGGGACAGCTGTTCGTACAAAGTAGAATAAAAGTAGTGTCTGCTGTCTAGTGGTATTGTGCGAACTAGTATTCCAAGAGCATGTTATGATGCAGAACCCTCGTCAACAAGGAAAAAAGAAGAGTAGATCCCGTATACACACAAAGCATATGCCAAAATTGGTGTTTTGAAATCGATCAAGTTGACGAGCGGATGACGGCCGTCAGGTAACCAGAGATCATGGCGACTCCAGTTCAGGTAAAGTCACGGACCGGTGAAAAACCAAATCGGCTTGTGCTAAACAATTACTGCCATTCGTGGCGACTACAGCGTAAACAGTAGCTGGCCGGCCGTCTCTATCACCGACAATACATGCGTGCTCGCGGACGAGGGAGGACGGGGCTTTCTCTGCCTTCTCCGGAAGGCTCGCCTGCGTCTTGCCGTGAATTTACCTGTTGTCCTGTTTCGTAGGTACATCACATGCCTGTCACGGCGGCCGGGAACTTGGCATTCTAAATAGGACTGGTGGTTTGAGATTGTATGACACACGGGTAGGAAATTATTATCTCACCGATCAGGCATGGCGTTGCTGTTCTTCTTAGATCGAGTTAGTTGGAAGGCAGCAAAGGTGAGAAAATAATTTGAAGACCGTTGGTTGATAGACTATACAAACTAGATAATACCCCTGCGTTTAAAATTTGGGGTTGATAACATATGACTTGTTATATTTGATTATGTAGAGCTGTAAAATATTTATTGAACATACGTAGAATAATTAAAAGCAAAACATTTTTCCATGCATGGTTGAGTGTTTTGGTTGGTCTTTCACTATACATGATTGCATGTTGAGATGGGCTTTATCTCATTCATAGTTGTATGATGAGATGCCATACTTGCATATTGAGATAAATAAGTTAATATAGATCACTCTCTTGTGTATATAGGATAAGGTACGAGCATCTCCACCACAAACCCTTAAAACAGAAAGAGTATCCGTCCAACGGCAAGCCTACCGGTCGTGAGCCTCGGGAAATGAAGATGTGGGAGGGGAAGAATAAAACATGGGGCACGACCCACGTGGGACACCAGGCGTGTTGACGTCCCATTTCCTATTCTTCCTCGCCAGAGTCCGCCATGTTCACGACGACGGACATGGACGGGCCGGTCTCGTGGTCATTGTGGCAGGGCATTTGTCAACGGTGGTTTGCCGTGTAATTGCATATGCTGAGTTTGTAGTGTTAGAACTTCTGTTTTTGGAACGGCGGACAACACAAAAGAGTTTATTTACTTCGTATACTAAATTGTCTTAAGTCAAACTTTTTAGAGTTTAAGCAAGTTTATTTTTGATGAAATGCAGTGGTAAGTTTATTAGACTAGTGACATGATGCATCTAATATTGAAATTGGTCACGAACATGTTAAGTAAAAAAAAACAAATGGAGTATCATTAGATTTGTATCATCAAACCGTCCATGACACCATCCAGAAGGTTCCCTAGATAGAGTTGTTAGCAGGTTGATAGTCATATGATTTGTATCGATCTCTCATTTATTAAGCGACTCTCGAGCTCTCTATAGAGGATGAGACGCTTCCAGCAAAGTTTGCATGTGCTACTTACATGTAAATGTATAATCTGCCTAGTTGGTGGCAAGCTGTCTCAGCGAGCAGTCGATCTCACTTGCATCAGAGAGGAGTCATTTTCCATGTATTCATCAATCATACGTATCCTGATTTTTCCATGAAGAGTGGTTTTTTACTTTTGCTGCTTGCGAAGATGAGCTGGGACAGCTTTCGTACATAGTAGAGTAGAACTAGTGGTATTGTGCAACCTAGTCTTCCAACAGCATGTTATGACGAAGACACCTCGTCAAATTCAAAAGTAAAGAAGAAATATGTCGTTCTAGTGCGTACATACATAGCATATGGCAAAATTGTGGTGTGGACTTGATCATCTTGACGAGTGGATGACGGACCAGTTAAACTCACTGAGGGGGTAGAAACTCAAGCGACTTCTGCTAGACAACTACAAAGGGAACCAATAGTTGGCTTGTTATCTCTATCACCGACAATGCACATACCCTACTCGTTATTACGTGTGTGTGTGTGTGCGCGCGCGCGCGC